TTTAAATCATTTCTGATCTTAAGTATAGGCTAACTGGAATTTCTTGAACCCGTATTTATTTTGTATATAGTCAATCCATTTTTTCCAGTCTCGTTTATGATTAACTCAATTCTTTTTTCATTCTGTAAGCCGCCCGGAGTCCTTCCGGGATTGGGCGGCATAGAAATTCAATAAATGAAATGAAATGAAATGAATGAACTCTTTAAATAATTTACTTACTTGGACTTGTTCCTTAAGTTTAAGAATAAATTTCCCGGCTCCTTTCCATTTGTTCTGGGCCTGAAAGACACATTCTTGGTCCAAAAGAATCCTCTGACACGTTTTGGGTGTGGAAGATTTTTTGTTTGCTGGCTCTTTCGTTATTTCTTCCAAAAGGACGTAATCGCTTGGGTTAGGATGGTTCAAAATACTGTAGGAGTATTTGGCTTTGCATAAAGTCTGTTAAAGAAAAGAAATTAGAAGCTGATAATAGTATTAGTATTTATTAAACTTGTGTGCCGCCCTACTCCCAGGGGGACTCAGGGCGGCGAACAAACACATGGGGAAGGGGCAATACAAAAACGAACGAGACAAACAGAATATAGAGACAGATTAAAAATACAACCAACGCAGCAATTCAAGTGGGGCCGGGAACTCAACAGCCCCAGGCCTGCCGGAACAGCCAGGTCTTGACAATCACCATGGAGCAGGTCAACACTCAACCAATTGTACCGGGAGTGGGTCCCTGTACCGTTTAGTACTAGTTCGCTTCACGCATGCGCCCATCGCATGTTGCTCAAGCATGTGCAGTTGACTGCAATTTGTTCTGTGCATGCACAGAAACATGCCAGCAACAGCAATAGAGACCGACGAACCAGTTCAGGGGCGTGGCCAGCCTGGGTCACTGTCGGTTCTGCGACCCAGGCCGAATCACCACTTCGGCTAAACCCGGGAGCAACCCACCTCTGAATTGTACCCTGGCAATCTGGATTAGACACTTTCATAGTACTGTCAAGGATGAAACTTTCACAGCTAGGTGCCTCGGTATTTCAACTTGCCATCAGAGTAAAGATGGGGGGAGACGTTGCTTTCAAATGGGTTAGTTGGAGAAACGACATTTCTACGATTCCGCTGAAGACTGTGAGAGCCTGTAAACTTTTCAAGGACACCCTAATACTTCTATGAACTGGTCTTTGGGAACCTCCGAGTTAGTTTTGTCTCGACGTTACCATGCAATGTATTCAATAAAGAGTAAGCTTTTCGGAAATGGAAATGATCCCGGAGTTTCATTTGGAATTCTCCAGCTGGATGTTAACAAATCCTCATTAAATATTCCTTTGAATTAAGTTAAGTTTAATAAACTTATATGACACCCAATCCTGAAGGACTCCGGGCAGCTTACATAAAATACAATTTAAAAAGTACTAAAAAATTTAAAAAGTAAAAGACAAAGCAGATTAAAACACAACACACACTCAACCGTGGTGGGGCTGGACCTCATTCAAGAGGTCAACAGCCCCAGGCCTGCCGGAAAAGCCAGGTCTTAATAGTCTTTTTGAAGGCCGCGAGAGTGGGGAGGGGCCGGATTTCTGGGGGTAGGTCGTTCCATAGGGCCGGAGCAGCTACAGAGAAGGCTCTCCCCCGAGTAGCCGCCAGACGACAT